CAAAATACTAGTTTAAAATGAGATCTCCTTACTACATTTCATATTGTCTTTTTCTCTTTATGAATGACTTCTCTACAGATAAAGAGAAGTGCTAACATTAACTACACTGGAACATCAAATTCAGTTTCTCTCCACGAGAATTCTGGATTGACAATTCCTTGAGACAAAGGATCACCTAGTTCTCTTCCATACATGACTCAGGGCACTAGGAATACTATTGCTCTGTACAGTTCAAGATAAACAGACCCACTGGGCTCTGGACCCAACATCACTATTCAAGATGCTTTAACTCACCTGTGAAATTCTCTTCTGAGTCTTCTCTCATCCATGGTTCTGCACCTTGCTCCAGCTTCACAATCAATATAGGTTTAGGAACACAGTGCCCTGTCAGTAAGAAATAGTGGAGGAATATTGCTCTTGCTGGGTCATCATTAACGTAATGTTGCAGACATCCTGTTCACTGGGTTGCTCCTAAATCTGGTTTCTCAATTGTTTTATTTTTTGGAGGGTGGGATCGGTTTTGGGGCCTGAACTATGAACCTGGGAGCTGTATCACACCTCCTAAGCTCAAGGCTAGCACTCTATCAATTGAGCCACAATGCCAATTCTGGCTTTTTTTTCTGCTTTTTTGGTGCTGAGGAATCGAACACAGGGCCACAAGCATGGAAGGCACGGGCTCTAAAACTGAGCCTCCTTCCCAGTCCATGGTTTCTCAATTCTTAACAGCTCCCTGGTGTACTTTCCCCCAGCTTTGGGTTTATTTTCCTAATGTGTGCCTTGGACTCGGCTCTTTTGCTCAACTCTAGCATTCTACTAGTTTGTGTCTTGGCTACATTTCTAGTTTTTGAATGGTTAATTGGAGATAAGAGTCTCATGTTCATTTTTCTACAGTTGCTGGCTTTAAACCAAAATTCTCAGATTTCAGCCTACAGAGTATCTAGGATTGCAAGCTTGAAGCAATGCAACCTATGTCAGGTTTGGCTTACAAATACACACTTTCACACTTTCACCTACTGATTTCTTGATCATACTGCAGTAGTAATGTATATTCTATCTAGACTGTAGATCCACCTATAATAATCACCCCAAGTCTGGAAAGTCAGTCTCCTATTAGTGGATCATAGTTTAGAACTTTTGTCCAACTACTGATTAGAAATCTTAAAGACTGAGAATATAATTAGCTCTTGAGTTATATGTAATGAAGTTGAAGTTTCCCTTAGGAAGAAATGACACTTCCCATGGACTGGAATCTTTTTTTTTAAACAAAATGTAATGGTTCAAAGGCTTACATTTCTAACCCTACATTTAGGAGGTAAGATCAGAAGACGCAGGCTTGAAACCAACCTGGGCATGGAAATTCAGAATATACCCCAAAACAAAAGCCAAAATAGAGTTGTGGCTCAAGCAGTACTGTGAAAGGCAAACAACATCAAGCTCCCAGACCTGAATTTAGCTGGCTTTTATACTAGCAGTAATTTTTACACGGGAATGTGCTGGAAACTTATACCTAAATAACATAGTTAAATGTCTACTAAAATAAAAGCACTTGATCTTCCAAATAAAAGTGACCTTTGCTCACCCAAGGACATTAGGTTGTTATAAGTTTCCAGCATTACTTCTCTATGAAGGGTCCTCTGACCAGGATCCAGATCCTGCCACTCCTTCCAGGTAAAGTACACAGCCACATCATCAAATGACATCAGCTTCTGTAATGGCACATTTCCATTAAGAAATTAGACCTGGGTCATGAGAATTCCAATGTAGAATTTCATTATACTGCAGGTATGCTTTTGTCTTACATAAAATGTTTGCAGCTGGCTATGTTATCTTTTAACTGGGAAAATTAAATAGCAAATTAGAAATATTTGACAATACATAAACCTGGCCACTAAAATACACAGATTTTCAGAGAACTGGTGGCTTATGCCTGTAATCCTAGCTATTGAGGACGATGAGCTCTGAGGATCAAGGTTCATGGCCAGCCCAGGCAGGAAAGTCCATCAGACACTTATCTCCAATAAACCACCAGAAAACTGGAAGTAGCACTGTGACTCAAGTGGTAGAGCACTCACTTTGACCTGAAGAGCTGATGGACAATAACCAGGCCGAGAATTCAGGCCCCAAGACCAATAAAAAGTTACAGATTCCCTAATGCATGCAAACATATTTCTGCTGCTAGCAATAGAGACAAGATAAAAACTCTAAGGAGACAATAATCTGGCATGATGACATTATGTCTAAAGTGGTGTCAAAAAATTATATTATTATTTTTGATAAAATTTTAGTATATATCAGTAGGTAACAATGAATTAAAGAAATATTTTCTCTGCATTTACATTTATTGCTTCACCATAAATCCTATTTAGACCTTCTATTAACAAGTACTCTCATAAGCAAGCAGAACACATTCAGGATATCACAGGGTATACAGAACATAGAACATTACTAGATCAAGGAAAAGCAGTGTCCACATGAATGTTAAAAAACAGTAACAGTACTCCAGAAAGTAGCTAATGATTTATTGGGCCCTTATAAGATTTGATTTAGTTCCCACATAAAAATATCCTAGGTTAACCATGTTTGGTTTAAATACTAAATATTGAAATGTGGTCTTAGATACCCTGATATTTCCTTCCTATGTAAAAAAGAACTGGTACCATGAAGTTTTGTAAACTTTGCCTACATTCTACAACACAAAATATATGTGGGAGGGGAATAAAATATTCCTTGAGAAGATTTTCATTTTAATAGGCCTTCATGGAAGGTGAAGCCAAATAGAGACTCAAGGAACACTCAAGATGACAAAAATGATAAATATGACCAAATGCTCAAATGTGTTAAATATTCCTGAGTCATTTCTCCAGTAGATCCCTAAGGATATATTTCCACTTTTGTTAGTTAATAGTGAAATTCCTCAGAGATCAAAATCAATTCCTAGCAAATATCTGTGAGATTTTGCAACAAATGACATTTCTAATAGAGAAAACCTCATCACTGTATTATTTTTTTAATCAAAACTACCTATCTTATACTGGCAGTGAATGAAAATATTTAAAAGCAGTGGTATAGAAAAATAAAACTGAATACCACAACAAATGAAGTTAGACAAAAGATAAGAGAATCAGGTGAAATCAAATTTTCTTGTAGTTTATCAGTTGGAGGAAGGACGTACTTTTCTGTATGGAACTCTGAAGTTGAGCTGAAGGGGAAAAAGTTTTGAGAGGTTGGAATTCTAGCCTGACAGCACTGAGAGAACTGAGAGCTGGCCGCAGAAGGGTTAAAAGAGAATTCTGGAGAAGGTTAAGAGACTGGAGTGCAGGCCTTTTCCTTACTGTTGGAAAGATAGCATCTGAAACGGAGCTGCTGTTCACCTTGAAGGCTAGGTAAGGTGAACTCCATGTCTGCATTTTCTCTTGACACCAGTATTCTGTCTCAGGAGAATAAGAAAACATGTTTTTTCCCAACATGTTGTGGCTCAGATTGTAATATTAATATAGATACTTCAGTTTTGCATGTTATCAATGGTAATATTCCCTGTGTGAACTCAAGGAACTTTGCTTGCTTGCTGGCAACGAGAGACCAAGTGCCAGAGAGGCTTCAGAACCCTGGTTTCCCCTAAGTCTATCTGTTTATGTTTTTGTATTTCTCTAATTTTCTTTGCTTCTGAAATCCTGTAGAACTCTCTAGGCAACAATTTTCCTATACATTGGGTATGAAAAATGTCAATCTTAAGAGCCATGTCAGCAACATATAGCTGATCACTAAGAAAAACTGGTTCCCAGATAGATCATTGAAGAAAAGAAGAAACTGAGAGACATATGGAGGAAAGAGAGAATGAGAAAAGTAAGAAAAAATGATTCAAAGATAGAGACAAACAGAGAGAAAGAGAAAAATGACCAACATAAGTGAGTAGAAAACCAAAAGTAGAGAGAGATTATAAAGGAAAGAAATCTTGTGAGGATACTTTAGAAAACAAACAAGATTTTGTAAAAAGACCATGAATTTTAGCAATAAATATAGCCTCAGCTTCAAGTAAGACCAAGACCATGAAGTAGTTCAAGAAGAATATATGGAGAGTAATTTAAGTACATATAGGTTAATCATTCCTTAAGAACACACGAAGGTGCATATGACCACACTATTTCAGCAATTCCAGGAAAATTTCATTGAGATAGTTTAATGTTACACATGAGAATGAGATCTGGTTGCAATCTACCCTTCACCTTCCATGAGATGTAACCTGCTCAGTGTCACTACATCACATAACAGGTATGACTATATGTTATGAGAAGATGAACCCTAGACATTCCGAAGCCAATCTGAATTCAACTTAGAAAGAATATACCATTTAATCTGCTAAACCTACAAGTAATCTTTATCTCCTAATCTACATGCCATCTTTTTCTGATTTATGAATACATTCCTGTTTGTAATTCTTGGACATCTTTAGGTTCATATAATGGATTGCAAAACAAATGAGAAATAAAACAAAACTCACCAGAGATCCATTCATTCTGTCTTGCTGCTGACAATGAACAGAAGACTCTAGAAGCACGGCTGGGATATAAGGCAAATGACGTATTCCGAAATGAATCTGTGAGATTTGGGGTCCAGAATTTACTCTTGCAAACATGATACATGGGCTGCAAAACCATAAAGCTGTCTTAGAAGAATCTTTACCCAGGCAGAGCATTAAAGTGTCCAAGAAACACAAATGCAGTCCATTTCCTGAGAGATAGATATTATTAAACCAACTAATTTCTATGTTTATGTACACATTAAATTCGAAAAAATGAATGTTCCCACAAATATTATTGAATACTTGAGAGCAAAAACATATCACATTTCCACGAAAAGTATTTATTACTGAATATACTTCGGTATGTAGGAACTGCTTTTTTTAATGCAAAGGTATCCTAGGAATCCATTGGAATTTGTGTTGTACCTCATTCATTTACATATTTTAACACCAGGGAAAGCATGTATGATGTAGCACAGTAGTTTTCACCCAATTTAGAGAAAAAATATCTACGGAATATATTTCTTGTGTTATAATATTTCAAAAATGGTTGTCAAATGGCACATTTCACTGTACCCATTGCACACCTATGCAATGTCTTGCAATTTCCATTTAACATGCTTTGGCCAAAGGGACATGAGTAAAGATGAGGTAAACCCAGGTTTGAGAAGTCCCTAATGTTCATTTCCATAAACAGTCTTGGAAAGAACCTTGACCATCCTAAAGAAACAACATAAAATACTCCATATAGGAGTGACACACCTGAAGATAAGCAACACCTACAAAGCATACAACCTTGAGTAAGACATATTACCTCAAGTTTTCTAATGTGATTTTTCTTTTAAGGCCAAATTTCCCTGACCAATACTTTCTGTACTACCAAGCAAAACCAACCAATAAGAGCTAGCCTTAGCAAATCCTTAGATGGGACATTTAACATAAGTTTGCATGATTACATACTAAAAATCATAGTGGTAACAGGCTGAATAAATTATCAAGAAGAGGATTAGGGATTACTACATTAATAGATACTTTGTCATAACGATTACCCCACCCTCCCAAACCACAGACTCAGGTACCCTCTCATAACTATGCTCTGGATTATTCCTCAATCCAGTTCATCACACCTCCTAGGAATTAGTTCAATCTTGCAACAACACAAAGTTATTGAGAGTGGTGTAGTAAAGAGTACCACGGGAATCTGGCACTCAGGGAAGTAGCAACAATTTTTGCAGAAGGCAAAGGAAGCTAGCAACATCTTACCCTTCCTTGCTTTTCTGCTTTTTCCCTTTAGGGCTTCTCAGAATTGACAAGGTCTGTCCATTTAGGATAGAGTTTCCTATTCATAGGGTGCTCTGCTTCAAACATTGCTAGGCTTCATTCCTAAAAATACAGGACCAGCACTCACTACTCCAATATCCCATGTACAACTGTCTCTAGAAACAGGGTCATGAACAAATACTTGTGAGCTCAACCCAGGAGATTAAAAACTCAAGCCAAACAGATTAAATTATCTCTAGGAGAAACAACACAGAAGCCCCAAATACAACTGCAATGTAAGAGGACTCAAGGCAGGCACACACCTCACAATTTCACTAGAATTCTTCCTGTACTCCTCTTACACCTGGGCAAAGCAAATAAAGTCACATGGGTTAATAGAAGAATCCCTTGGTCTTGGAGTACAAATGCACAGCTCTTGGGCTCTCCTCGTCTGGACAATGACCCAGCTTGCTCTCAGACATTTGGAAACCAGGTTCTTGCATCTGAAGGCCCAGAGGCTAATGGCAGCACAAACTCCTGAACCTCAAGCAAATTATCAACCCCAGACTGGAGAAAATCGTGGAGAGGGAAGTAGACGCTTTGGCTCAAGTGTAAAACTCTCCCTCTGAGCTGAGGAGCTCAGGAATGCTGCTTTCAGGCCCAAAGTTTACACCCCACAAAACAAACAAAAACAGAAAAACGAACAGAAACCAGTGGAGGGTAGACACCCGCGGCAATCACACAGTTCCCACCTGACATCAGTTGCAAAGCCTGAGATTCCTTCAAGTTACAGCTCCCAAGTTCCACTGCACAGAGCTGGGCGCAGGGCTCCTGGCTCCCACCTGTGGAAGGACAAACTGTACTTCAGGGCACTTCCAGCAACCAGGCAAAGGAAAAGAATCAGGAAGAGGCCGACTTAAAACGCCCCTGGTGGGTGGGAGACACATGTGCAAAAGCATCTTCTGCCCCACCTCCACCCTCCAAAAAACAAAAACAACCCAGGACTTTCAAAGAAAATATTCTTCTTGGTGACTACAATTCCCACAATGCTCGATGGCACCCTGCTACATACCTGGGAACAAGTGTGCTCTTGTGCATTGGGACTTTTCTCTCCCTGCTGTGGGAGTTAAGCTCAGTTTCTTCTTGAAAACCACTGTTTCCTCTTGAAATACATAAGGCCAACCAGAAAATGGATATATATGGGGAGAATTGGATACATTGCCTTTTTGATTCTTAGTTCTAATAATGAAATTGAGGTTATGAGATTGCATTGCTTATACCTTTCTGTTTTTTCAATGCCTGCGTTCTGCTTAATGTAAATTATATCTCTGTTTTGTCTTAAATTTTTTTAATATATCTCCTCCTACTTTACAAAGATATTGCCGGGCGCCGGTGGCTCAAGCCTGTAATCCTAGCTACTCAGGAGGCTGAGATCTGAGGATCGCAGTTCAAAGCAAGCCAGCACAGTAGAGACCCTGAGAGTCCTATCTCCAATAAACCACTAGAAAACCGGAAGTGGTGTTGTAGCTCAAGTGATAGAGCGCTCACCTTGAGCTGAAGAGCTGAGGGACAAGCGCCCAGGCCCAGAGTTCAAGCCCCACAACCGCCAAAAAAAAAATGAAGTTATTCACAACCATAAACTTATACCTGTGTCATTTCCCATTGCTGTAATGAAAACACAGGCATAAAATAGTGAGATTATTAGGTAAGTATGCAGCATAATACTTCTGGTGATTTGGATTTCACAAAATCTAACAATTAATTTTCCAGAAACTCCCTAATTCTATCTATTAAATCAAATGAATTTTTGTTTTTTTCTGAATTTTGCATTTCATTTAAGGATTTTATGTTTTGTTTTGTTGTTGGTCCTATGGCTTGAACTCAGAACTTGGGCACTGTCTGTGAGCATTTGCTGTGCTCTATTTGCATTTCCTTTAAGAATTTGTTCAAGTAAGTAGTGAAAAGTTTCCTCACAGAGATCCTTATGAACATGGCACATCACCTCCATTTCCCTTCAAAGAGATAGTGGTTTAGGGTGTCAGGGATGAATGCAGGAGGGATAGAAGAGTGAAGTTTAGGCTAGGCTATGTTGATGTGAAACTTAATCACTTGCAAACTAGTCTGCTTTTGTCTTTTCATTTTGCATGTGAAAATCTCTATAGACACCTTACCTCTTCACTGATCCTAACAGTTCCTCTCAGTAGCTTTAGGCTACATATCTAAGGGACCTCAGACTTGTCTTCTCAGACCTTATCCATTAAAATGTTCAATAAATCTTTTGTCTCCTTCCGCAATCCCATCAGAGCACAAGCAAGGCTCTGAGAGCCAATGGGATGATAATTAAGGAGACAGAGAGATGGCTGATGACACAGTTCAGCTATATTTCTCAAATGCTTGAGTAATATTGGTCTAGACCCACTGTGCCCAAAAGTGCAAACAGCACACATCTTTCCTCATTCTATTTCAATACATCTTTTCCACCCAAGCCTCCAGACAGTTAAAGCCCCAGGCCAAAAAGCTAGAACTCACACTTCCTCAAACCAATAAAGGGCAAGGATTTGCAGTCTTGAGGGTGGGAGTCAATGGCACTGAAGCCTTTGGTCACATTTTCTCTGCTCCTGGCAGGCACCCCAGAGTCTACAACAGTCTCTCTCTCTCTTATCAAAGAACCTACCCTTGTCTCTTACATGTTTATGGTGATTTTCTGTAATCCCTTAAATAAAAAATAAATAGGAAAGATTGGATTGGAAACTTTCACTTTTGATTTTAGTTCTCCAGTGTATGGGTTCAACATGTCTCTATTGTGGACCAGAACTATTCCTCATGAAAATGGGAATCAAAGAGCATATTTGAATGTATAGATTTCAACTTAAAAGCACCTCTAACAATATAAAGAAAAAATAATTTCATTCTTTAAAACTAAATTCCTGGGAAGTGGCTGTGGCTCAAGAGGTAGATCGCTTGCCTTGAGCTGAAGAGCTGAGGGAAAAGTGCTCAGGCCCAGAGTTCAAGCCCCACAACCAAAAAAAAAAATCCTCCCTAAAACTAAATTCCTGAGAGACAAAGAGATAAAACTGGGGTGCTTCCAAGAGTACCTGTGAAATGTAGTTTTCTTTTATTTCTTTTTTTTTTCTGTTAGTCATGGGGCCTGAAGTCTGGGCCTAGGTACTGTTCCTCGGCTCTTCAGCTCAAGGCTAGTGCTCTACCACTTAAGCCACAGTGCCACTTCTGGCTAATTCTGCTTATGTGGTGCTGAAGAATGGAACCCAGGGCCTCATGCATGCAAGGCAAGCACTCTACACTGAACCACTTTCCCATCCCTGAAATATAGTTTTCATTGTTAAGGCCTACATTTGTGATGAATTTCTTTATTCTTTTATCCTTTGGTTTTGTTTGGTTTTAGGTCATGCAAACTTGAACTGTGAGCCTAGGAACCATCCCTTACCCCTTCAGCTCAAGTCAAGTGCTCTACATTGTGAGCTAAAGCACCAATTCTGGTTTTCTGTTTTTTATTTGAGATAAGTGTCTCACAGACATTGCTGCCCTGGCTGACTTTGGACTGCGATCCTCAGGTTTCAGCCTTTTGAAGAGCTAGGATTAAAGACATGATGTACCAGCACCCAGCTTGCATTTCTTTTCTTTTATGTCCCAGCCCTGGAGCTTGAACTCAGTGCCTGGACACTGTCCCTAAAATTTTGCTCAAAACTAGCACCCTATGTATGTGGTACTAAGGACTTGAACTAAGGCTTCATGCATGTTCGGTAAGCACTCTAGCATTGTTGCGAGACAACCACAACAC